ATCATAACATATGGGCGAAATGTTGTTTATAGGGAAGTTTCAGAAATAAGGTATAATAAAGTACACTCTAAAAAAGTTTCAGATCGAAAATTGTTTAAAGTAAGTAGTATTTAAAAAAAAATACTGACGAATTTTCAATATAAAATAAAGCCTATACAATAAGACACAGATGTAGTTACGAAATAATGAAAGAAGCATATACTAATACATGATTCGATTTATAAAAATATACATATTTTTTGTATAGGATGAATAATAAAGGGATTCACTTATTTTGTTAACATTAATATGTATAAACATTAAGTAACACATACAAACGCAATGCAATCAATTAGAAATATTAGAATGTTCGTGTGAGTGTAAAGCATTTCAAGTCCGATTCATTCAATTTCTCGAAAATACAATTAACTCATTTTGTAACATTGTTATTTTTGTTATTCTAATATTTTCTGTACACTCGACATTTAATTTTACCATTCATACTACCTTAAAAAGTATTGACAAAAGTTCATTCCCAATTTGTCAGTATTGGATTCCAACAAAATTGTAAACAAGTATCGCAATCCTTTTTCTGAATAAAAGCAAATTTAATGGATTTTTGAACTTTAACCTTACAATGTTTACTTTATTAAATAAGTTTATAAAAAAGGTTACATCACTAAAACATTGACCTCTTTAAAAGCATTAAAAATTTAAATCATGTACCTAAGTAAAGTTTAATTTTATAAGTGCCATGGATGTTTCGAGAAGATATTTGATGACAGTGCCTCTTCTTATTTTTGGTCCTTTGATACGCAAATATGTACTTATTATGTAGAAAAAAAGACCAAAAGAAAAGATAGCCATCGATCAATTTCAACTTGATGCAATAAGCCTAGATCATCTTCCAACGCATTTTTATTTATGAATCTGTTTGATGAAAAAAAGTTTTGACAAAAATTACATTATTCATTCGAAGGACCGAATTATTTCCCGGTAGGGATTATTTGCAACTAAACATGTACTATACGGATGTTATTGAAATCAAAATGTCAAATGTCGTTACGCAGAAACGTTCCGAATCTTTATCGGGACTTTAAATACCTATCTAAATAAGAACATATTTCAAACAGAGACTTCAATTCTTGCACTTAAAACTCAATCAAAGAGTTCTGAAGTCTATAAAATTATGTCATTCAGAAAGCCCGAGTGCTTCAACATCCCGTATTACGAAATATGGCCAGTATCACACAGTTATTGTTACAATTAATTCCCTCCTCCCTCAGTTAGTTGACCCCAAAGCCCCGCGTCACGCGTTAGACAAATTATTGTCCTGTTAATAGAAAGGGAGGATGAATTGGATAGGAATTCTTTTATTTCTTCGCCGGGAAAGGTCGGTTTGCGTCATTGTGTGGGTTGCAGCTTTATGTGACTATAAGGCGGTTTTTTTGTTAAGAATAAGATCGTATGGTATTAATATCTTCTATAGCTCACGTAACTACCCATGCTCTGAAGTTTGTCATAACCATTTTGTTCTGTTAAAGACGCTATAAAATTGCTTAATTTTCTAACTGAGATGAATTCATGCTTAAGAAGCGTGTGTGTCTATGCGAGGAGGTTCCCGTACGAACTTACAAGTTAAAAATCATGGAAATTATTGAACAAATTTAAATGAAACTTAGTATTCTATACGCGTATACGCAAGATATTAAGGTCTAAAAACTTCATCATCATCAGCCTGTTGTCGTCCACTGCTGGACATAGGCCTCCCCAATTGCACGCCACTGAGGTCTAAAAACTTAATTAGGTATATTTTGGAATCGCGTTATACTCTTTTTTGTAAAAGTACTTAAACAATAAACATTAGTTATGAGCACCAAATTTGATCGAAAACGGCTGAGTAATTTCCATAATCTTGTGAACTCGATTATATTTGTGAAAACACACACCCCGTATACGATACCTATTAAAATTTAGTTTCAACTTTGTTGAATAAAACGTTCAATAAAATCCAATCCAATAAGAATTTCGAAGAAATTGATGATAACATAGTAGTAGTACAACGTTTTGTAAGTAGTAATTTTATTCTAATAAGATTTTTTCCCCCCAGGTATTGATAACAATGCTTCCACGACATTAGGACCATGGATCGTGTCTAGTGTTAAAATGGTGTTGATGGACAAAGTGCTAAGGACTATAAAGACTAAAGCATGGTGCGTTCTGATCGTGTGTGCGGTGGCGATCGTGATGGAAGCCACCGCTTTGAATGGAGACAACGTCTGCATGGTGAAACAGAAGTAAGTGGATATTACATACAAGAATAATGTTTGACTTATCTTATTGATATAGTGGTTTGTTATCTGTACAGCCACGTAACTGTTAATCATATATAAAAGGTTTATTCTTCAGTTCATACTAGATTTTAAGTTATGTTAAAAGGCGCCAGGCTTGCAACGCCTAATGCTAATCAATATACGAGTACGCTGCCTACGGACATGTTATTTTAGAGTTCCAAGTACGAGGTGCTCTTTTATGGATTAGGGATCTGCGCGGCAACCAATTGAACAACCATCACCATATGACCTCAAAACCTACAAAGTTGAGAAAATAAACATGAATATTTCTATGAAGGCTAAATATCAGATTCTATTCCGTAAGGGAATAGAATCCTTTTACACTCAATATATCAAATACTTTCTCGGCGAGCCCAAATATATTTTGATACCAATTGATAAATCTAATATCAAATAAGTAGTAAGATCAAATATTGAAACTGAGACGCCTCCTCTATGACAAACATAGAGGTTATCCAACGCAAACATCATCCTTAGAAAATCAATGATATAATAAGACCAGGAAAGGAACTGGGTCACCACATATTACGCTGTTTCTTGTAAGAAGAAAAAATGTTTTTCATATTTATTTAAGTCAGGTAGACTTAAATAAATATGAAAAACATTTTTTGATAGATTCAACTGGAGAGATAATCGTAAATAGAAAAAATATGCCTATCTATGTATATCGTCTGCATCATTCTAATATATCTTTTCATAAAAGCTATCCTTGTACTGAATCCGTATATAATAATTATAATAGATTAATTTAGGTTTTTTATTAGCATCAAAAATTTGTTCCACTGTATTTTTCCTGTGACGTGGATACATTTACAAACATACGATTTCACATAGGTACACATCACTCCCAAGCCTAGAACATATTTGTGAATCACATAACGAGATGTTCTATACGGAGATTAAAACAGCAACACGCTTCATTGTAGCTGGCAGCCCAGACAACTGTGTTGTCAAAAGTTCAATTTCATTTGAATATTTTAAAGTTAAATTTTCACTAACAGTTTTCATTTAAAATATGCACGTTGAATATGTTTCTTATCATAGCCACTGTTGCTGTTCAGTGAGCTACAATAAAAATGTATTGAAAAAGGTACCAAGAAACTCACGTAAAACCTTCAAAGAGTATATTTTGGTCCTTTCACCCCCGTCCAAGCGTTAGGTTTTTCCAAAGAATACGTAACACTGGACATAAAACAATATTATCTCAAGCTCAACAAAAAGCTGACAGTCAGCATTCACTGCCAGTAAACTAAGATTTGGTACAGCAGTAGCGAGTGTAACATATTTCATGATCATGTCGGGTAGGGGTGGCAATACTTTTTTAATTAAAACCGATTGAGTATTAGAAATAAGGCAATAGGATTTTATTCAGAATCAGGCACAATATTCTAACATTATAGATTTTTTTAAACTGGCATTTTGCTATTTTCATTTGGAATGTTTTGTGTGTTGTTATTTACTTAAGTATCGCTCATTTTTTAGCTCGCCTTTTTTGGAAAGGGAATAGGCTTCTCTTGTCCTGAATGGGGAGGGAGTGAGTGACAAACTCTTACTGAATAAAAGCAATTCCGTTCCTTCTTCTTCTGAACGTCAGCCCTGTTTGGCCCCATTTTATCTTTTTTAAGAAGCTTAGTTGCCTTGAAAAGTAGAAACCTGTTGTCAATGAACATTTCTGAACCAATTCTTGTAATTACAGTAGTCACTTAGATTAGTCATCTATAAATAATTTGCATTATAAAAAACCGCTAACCTTTTATTTGCACAGTTAAAATAGGTAAATCTAAATAGATATCTACCTCTATAAATTACAATAACCCGTCTTTAGAATATGACATCTAAATAACCTGAAACCTCTATACAATTTTGCACAATGTTCGTGCACCTGACAACCCTACAGAAGCGGCAGTAATCTGGATAGATTTAATTAATTACCACTTTCTACGCAACCCTATATAGGGAGCATTGGTTAGGTAGGTGCTAGAAATGCGTTAATATTGAAATTTAGACGAATAATGGTATCTGTATTACTTACATAATAATCAGCATGACGAAGCTAAACCGTAATAGACACAGTTGATATAGTTTTTACTAATACTTGCTATTTTTGATACAACCCAAAAGAGTTTCTATAAGAAGATTTTACAACTCGTCCAAATGAAATGTTTGACAATGGACACACAACAGCCTTTTTTCAACAAAGCGGCCGCGGCCACGGCTTAAAGCAGGAGAAAGAACAGGGGGATTTTTAGTTAGTAAAAGTCTCTCTCGCCTTACCCTGGGCGGTAGAAGTCATTTGATGATTTTCCCCTGACAAAAACAAAACTTTCTTCAACAGTACACGTTTTCCAGCTGATGATAATGTTACCGAATCGGGCCGATGTTTATCCAAGGTAGCGAGTGTAAGCGTCATGACGTACCGCAGTCGGCACCGAGCAGGAGAAGGAACGGGGTGATTTTCTGTCAACAAGAATCCGTACTCCCTCTCACCACACCCAGGGTGAATGCAAATGATGATTAATCCCTCCCCAATGGGGATGATGATAAAGTTATTGATGGTGATGATTATTTACTAGCAGAACCAGTTAGCAAATTCAACGGTATATTTAAAAGCAATGTGTTAATTTCCCTAGATACAACATCACGAAACGAGTGAAATACCGTGCTCCGATGTCAGTCCGGACGTACGAGTGGTGCTTCTCCATGCCCCCGAGATGCTCCAGGTGGAACACCGAGATGAGAGACCTGACCAGGCTTGAGGTAAGTACCAGAGTTTCTAACACTCATCTTTACTAATGTTATGAAGAGGAAATATTTTTGATAGTTTGTTTGTTTGAAATACTTGAACACAACAATCGCCTGGTGATAAATGCTAAACAAGAAGTAGGCTAATATTGTAAATTAAAAAAAAACACGTAAAAAAGAAAAAATCAAAAAAGAAACATCATCAAGTACTAAGATATAGAGGGCAAGAACTCAATTATATTTAAATACTGTTACTAGTTAATGAGGAAAATATACAGTTTAGATGTCAACAACTTATTATCTAGGACTGGTCTTAGAACTATCCTTGAGAAAAACTAGATCGATTGTGAAGTGTCTGTTTCCACTAGCCTTAATTATGTTCAACATTTGTATTCAACTTACAAAACATCCTGTATCTTCAGATAGATCTTAAATATTATTAATATTTAAATATTACAATGTATGAATATTTTTGTCATTTATTGTTATCATCAAAATTAACTTCTCAGTTTCATTTAGTACAATAGGTGTGATGTTGCTTGGTTATAAAAATCATAATTTCTAGTACATGTGCTGCTATACCTAAAATCCTTTTAATAACATCATATATAGCTAGATTATATATTATAAAATTCTTATCAACATCTGAATCTGTAACGTTTTCAGCCCAAAGCAGAATGATGAAATTTGAACATTTGAAAGGAGAGAGAATATTTATTTTCCTTTTCAATATGTTTAATGTTCAGATCACGGAGTAATACTCCGTGGTTCAGATAGATGTTAAGACAAATCATTGCATGTATTGTCGTGTTTATAAGCAATCATTATATTTACACGATCGTGGATCATGCTAAGTCCTATGTAAATGAGATCCCTTTCTTTATTAGCTTCAAGTTCATGTTTTGTTTCTAGATCACCGATAGTATCAAGCCTGTGGTCGATGGAGTTCTTATGAAATGTTTCTATGGTGTTTAATAGTATTCTGATTAAAAATTACTAATCTCTGTCTCTCGTTTTGTTTCTAATTTTGTTGATCTTGCTAATAATACACAGTCATATTGGGATAGTTCTAAACAATCGTATTCCAATCCTAATAGGTCATAAATATCATTTAACACAAATTCAAGCCAAAGCTATTAGATATCGCCACTGAAATAAAATTCACATATTTGCCATTTCAGTATATTACGACTTGTGGTAATCGAAAAACAAACCAAAAATCTAAATAATCAGACATGAATTAACCATATTTTGAAAATATTACAGACAGAAGAAAGAATAGCAGAAGTGGCGGTGTGCTGTCCAGGGTATAAGATGAGAGATGTGTCCTGTGTCCCAATCTGTCCTAATGGGAAGACAGGACCTGGGTGCTCCGAAGGTAATCCTGAAATTGGACAGAAGAATTTACTACACTATTTTACAGAAATGGTTTACATTTTGAGTCAAATTATGACCCCATTATTTTTAAACTGATTAAAATTGTAAACAAATACAACATTTTTGAGTGTGAATTACAATTACTTGACCAATAGAAAAACATTTACACTAATACTTATTAATTATTTGTGTGAATATTATTAAACACATCTCTCAATTCTTAAAACAACTTAGGTCTCATCAAAAAAATAATTCCAAGCTCATATTTATAGCTTCCTACATCACATACAATTAACATTAACATTCCAAATTTGCCAACAAAACAATTTCAGACTGTCCAGACAACAAATGGGGACCAAATTGTATACATGAGTGTAAGCGGTGTAAGAATGGCTTCTGTTCACCCGTCACAGGCGAGTGCGAGTGCTTGGACGGATGGCAAGGTGAGAGGTGGGTTTCCACTCTGTTACAACTAGATTTAAAATGCTAGCACAAAACTCTACCAACAAATTAACTATCAATTTATAGATCTTCATTTTTCTCAGTTAGTTGTACAGTTTGTTTTATAATCAGTAAAGATAAGCAGATTACAAGTCGGTATAGAATATTAAGATTTTAATAACGGTTAATATTTCCTTATAGAATTCTTCAAATTTGTAAATATACTTTCTTATTTTATTTTACAGTTGTGATGTGAGCATGCCTCCAACGACAGCGACGCCGTCGTTTGAAGAAATACTAACAGCACTGACTACTAAAACAATTCCTACAACAGCTAGAATAACCTCTACTGTAACAACTCCTAGAACCACGGTAACATCGCCTTCAACTACCACGACAACACCTAGTACTATCGCAACAACACCTAGCACAATTTCAACAACTCCTACAACCGTTGCCACAACTCCTACGACCATTTCAACAACTCCTCCGACCGTCGCAACAACTCGAACAACAGTTGTAATAGCTTCGATTACTCCTGTTACTACCCCAATGACAACTGTAGCCCCCACTACTAAAGCAACATTACCTACTACGACGTCAACCAAAAATTTATTTACTGCAACGATAGATACTTTGGATACAAAAGAAGACCATCGAAATATCATATCTACGCTTACCAAAGAAACATCAAACATTCCTATGGATTACGTCAACACAACTCTTGTTACTACAAGTACTACAAAAGCTTCTAACCCAACTACGGAAGCAGTTACAGAAAAAGTCACAGTAAAACCGATTAACAATAAAAACGAAGTGTTAGAGTCTACCACAGAATCTATAATTGTAATAAAAAGTGCTCCAACTGAAAATGCAAAACCAAAACCGATTGAAGTTCTTACTACTACTGAAATGGCAACAACTTTACCATCAATAACAGTAGAAACGACAGTAAAAATGGAAACTCCGAAAAAAGAAACAACAATTAAGCTACTCCTAACAACGGTCAAATTCAAACCAAAGGAAATATGGATAAGACCAGCTCAAAAAGGTGAATCTCCCATAGTAGAAACCAAACTTAAAACTACTCATGAATTTCCAAGGTACAGAAGTGCTAATAATAATAAAGAATTTACACCAACTGTAACTACACCAAAGACGATAATCGTATCGATTATACCTACATCTGTGTCTTATACAACTTTCAAAAAGATTGCTTTAACTTCGTCATTTGTATCAACCAAAAATAGTTCAACCGTACAGTCTTATAATAAGACGGAGATTGAATCTACAAAGCCAATGTTAACAGAAACTACGACACCGCCAATTAAACTGAGTCCTTTGTCAAGAAAAGATTTGTTGGCTACATCATATTTCATAAACAATACTCTAGTATCAAGCACTTCTGTAACTCCAAAACCGACAACTTCTTCAACTAAATCAACTATTATAGTAACGAAATCTCTGGAAACTAAGTCTATAACTCGTATTAATAGAACTAACAGCATGATGACTGACATTAACAAGAACGTTTCTACTTCCATAACAACTGCTTCTTTCAATGCAACAAGAACTTCATTGAAAATCAATGATTCATTCACGACTTCTACTACTACTAGCACCTCTCCTAAACCTACAAGTGCGACGCAATCCTCAACAGAGCATACAACAAAGCACTTGATAAAATATGTACTACCTAAAAAAGTTACTGCAACAACAGATATAAAAAAGATTAAACCAACTACTAATACGCCAAAAACTGATGACAGTGAATTTAAAAAGGCTAACGTTACTAAAAATTTTAATAAAGTTACAACTGAAGGACCAGCGGATGATGAAGAATTTCATATTTTGACAGAACCTGAGCATATAACTGCTGTTATGGGGGACAAAGGAACAGAGAGGTCCTCAGTAGATCTGATTTCGGTGATCAGTATAGCAGGAGGAGTGATGATGGCTGTCATCACAGTAGCCGTGGTGATTGTAATGATAGAAAGGTGCAAGAAGCCGAGATACGAGGATGTGAGGAAGATCAATGACATAAGAATGCAAGTGATGATTGATAACAACGATGTTCCGCCGCCGTACGTGAGGAGCATCTTCCATACTCCCTTACCAGGTAATTAAAACTCTTGTATAATTATTTTATTTGCTCTTAAGATTTTCGGGCCCGTTGCGTCGCTGCTAGCTATGTTAATCAATAAAAAAATAATGCTGTCTTCGGAATAAGTCTTTTATTCGTCCCTTTTCTAAAAGAAACATTCTACGGCCCATAATCTCAATTTGCATTCTTTTCAATAAAATTAAATTACTAATACAGTAAAAACCGAGAGTTTTTTTAGTTTATAAATAACTAAGTATTATAATAATATTATTTTATTTGCCGAAACTATTCCTTAGCTATGCCACATTTTTCCTTTGAAACGATTTCTGCTACAGGGTATCTGAACCGTATTTTCATCATTACACACATCGGCCCATTAGCTCAGTTGGTTAGAGCGTCGTGCTAATAACGCGAAGGTCGCGGGTTCGATCCCCTCATGGGCCACAATCACTTTTTGTTGTAAATATCTTTTTATATTTTTTCCAGATCCTCCGTCCTCGGAAAAATGTCATTATCAACCAATTTCGACGTTGGATCGAAATTTGAAACAATTTATGAGACCGGTTGTGGTACAAACAATTTCGCCTATAATGCTGGAGAACTTCAGAGGTAAATAAAAGTAAAATAATAAACATATGACTAAAAATATATATTGATATATTGTGCTGATTATGAATTGACAATTATCTATTTTGTTCAGGTATCCTAGAATGCCATTACGACCACTTGCCAAGAAGAAGCCATGAGTTTAATACGATTCAAGCTCGCTCATCAATTGCGCCATCTATGAACGACTGCAGTGAACTACGTCAACTTCGAGCTAGCGTAACTGAATCTACAATTGAAGCATTGAAATGTGAAGCAAAACTGGATGTTATAGATAGCACAACTTCAGAACCTCTCTATGCTGAAATTCCATGCTGGAGACCACCTTCTGAACATGCTATTGAAATAATGAACTTAAACGGCGAAGCCGTAACCGAATTATGACCGCAATGAGTAGATTAACGTACAAACTCAGCAAGTAGTTCTAAAATGTTATACTAGATGGCGTTGTATGAAAGTTTTAGTATCAATCTACCAAAGATTTTTGTGTGAAGTAAAATTATTATTATAATATTATTGTCTTAGGAAAGTAATTAAACAAAATTTAAATTACTTATTTTTTATTTCTTGATTAACTATTTATTATATGAAAAAAGAACAAAAGAAGAAATTTTATATTTTCCTCTGATGTGACGTCAAACTGGTATTTCGTAGAAATCGTTTAGCAGTATGTAAGATAAACTTTATCGGGGTTAAAGTGCGTGGGTATTACTGTTATCAATTATTGACATCCTATGTACCGTGTCGGATGGATTTCGCAAAATTAAATGTGTCAATATTATTCAGTTATTAGGTACCTCCCTATTAACTTGATAATTAACGAAAAAAAAAACTAATGATCCAGAAACGGATTTTTATTAAATTCTTAATTGTCATAATATGAGGCGTCTTCACTAAAAAGGGCCCACGTCTATATATCGAATTTGAGGGTATAATTCAGTAAAGATATACTCCTCTATCTCCTCCTTATCAAACTGCGGAACCTGACCTGCAATAAGCGACTTTTTCTTAATATTTACTTTTGTAGGAATGAGACTGACTATTTTATTTTTATGGTATACATTTTAACTTCATTTTAAAGTACCAAAGAGTTTAATATTGAACATAGGTACTTACTGAGTATCTACCAACCTTCTTGGTGTTATACATTATGGAAATCGATGATTATTTTATTATCACCTCATTGGTAGACAGCCGTGACGTCATAAATGCATGTAGGTAAGTAATATTTATTATGTAGGTTACCTAAATATATGGTAAGTACCTAATTATCATAAATATCGTGGTTGCCCTTAGGACTTGCGGGTTCGAAACCTGACAAGTACCAGTGTGACCTTTTCCGAATTATAAGTAGGTATGTTCTCTTTATGATTATTTAGACACCACTGACGACGGTGACGAAAAACTTAGTGAGAAAACCTGGACTTACCATTTCTAATTATAAGTAGGTATGAAATTGCCAATCCGCCTTAAGCAAGCGTGGTGGTTAATGCTCTAACCTTCTTCATGTGAGAATAGACTTTTGCACAGCAGTGGGCACTTATAGGCTGATGATGATGATGATGTAGGTTAAATGTATGTTATGCTATTAGTTTTTCCCATTCGACGAAAAATAAGTGCAATGATAATTAAGTATGTGTGTGTAGGTATGTATTCTGATTACTGCTTTTATTAATCCAAACAATATTTAAGATAAGACTGTCCTTGACCGTTAACCTAGTTCACTTGTACATACAAACACATGTAATTTACGGGTCCGCCCTTAATAACAGAACTTTTTACGTCATAATTGGCGGCATAAGTAAATTATTGATAGCATAAATTTTGTTAGTCAGAATCATATTTAGGCATACATTTAATATCCATACTTAATAAGAACACTTTTTTTAATTTCGAGAGGCGTTCTCCGGCCGCCGAGCCGTAAGCGCGGGTCTGCTAACGGCGAGTAAGGGTAGCTCGCCGCCCGACCATGAGAACCAGCCCCGAGCGTTCGGCGCATAGATAAGCCAGTAGACCACAGACGGGGCCCTATAGGACTGTTCAGCTGGGGTTGCGGGGTAAGCGGAATGAGGCCTCGGCCCAGAGCTAGAGAAGGAACGGGGGGATTTCAGTCTGTAAGAGTCTGACAGCCCGGCCCTGGGCAGTAGAAGTCATTTGATAATTTTCCCCTCACAAAAAAACTATTTTTATTTGCCACATTATGATAGAAATGTTAATTGATAAGTATATTTTTCTGATCAGGCGTTAACTTTTACTTTTGCTGAAGTGGGAGGTAGTTAATGAAACTTATCATTATTAGCTGACATATCGATATTGTTTTATTCTGTTGAGCAAAAGAGTGTTAAAATATATGAAAAAAATTGAAAGCATGCTGCAGGCATGCAGCAAGCAAGCATGCAGCATACAAGCATGCAGCAAACAAGCATGCAACGTGCAGCAAGCATACAACAAGCAGCAGACATGGCTTCTGTCACGGCTCCGGCGCTGCGGGCGGGGTCCGGCGATCCCACGCAAGCTAAAGGTCGCAGATGATTTTACACCCATCGTCCCGGTTGAGATAGGCCGGCGAAGGAAGCCAGTAAGCCGAAGTTGAAATTGTCCTTATCCACTCTCAAGACCATCTACGCGCCTGTCTCTGCTGATAGGGTGACAATATGAGCGGTACGACGGAAACTTGATCAAGGCCAACGTTTGTTTTCTATGTAAGGCTTACAGGACAATTAGCACTGAGGCCCTGCCCCTACTCGCGGGATTACTTCCCGTCGATATTGAGATGCAGCGACGTGCTGCTAAACGAAATTATGCAAAACTGTAACTTTGCAAAGGTAATTATGACCAATACCATTATGCCATCTTAGAAGTGACCCATTTTAAATACGGACAAAAATTTGGGTCAGTGGGTCATCTTAGGGGCGGGTTGGCCATAAAACATTCATACAAATATTTTTTAACAATGTTCGTTAAAAAAAGTTTATGCCAAACAGGTTGAGCAAGTTTTTGCCAGATAGGCTTGTCAAAGTGATACAAACTAAACTCAGTATTTTTGAAAACCTAAGGCTATGTCTGTTTCATATACCGCGGCCAGGTAAAGGAACAGGGAGGTTTTTAGTCAGTAAGAGTCAAGCACTCCCTCTTGCCCACCCAGGGAGTCACATAAGATAGGCAAGTTTTTTTTTCTATGGTATAGGTCGGCAAACGATCAGACGGTTTATGTGATGGTAAGCAAGCAATCAGTGCCGCCCATGGACACCCGCAACGCCATAGGAGTTACGAGTGCGTTGCCGATCTTTTAGGGATAAGGGTTTTGGATATTTAACGATTGGGAAGGAGGTTAAAAGAGAGGAGGAGTGATTGGGCTTCCGGTAACCTCACTCACACGGCGAAACACCACGTTGTGGTTGTTTCACGGTTTTCTGTGAAGCCATTTTTAGCTGCTTTGCTAGGTGGCAAATTTAACACAATATACCTACAACTTGTTTTATGGTCGAAACTCCACGAACAACGGAAGTAGTCCTGTTTCTCTTAAAACTTACATCATCAAACAAGATCAAGTAAGTAGGTAGGTATATGTAGGTATTAAATTTTTTTAAGTCAATGCTAAACAAATATTTCATTGGAAGCTCATTAATAGTTCTATGAATCAGAGTTAACAAAAAATATTATTACCTACCAAAGTAGGTACGATATTTTGTGGAACATTATCCTCAATGAATGATTGAATGTTCAAACCATGTTCATGTAATCTTTGATCTTAATATGATGTTTATATTAAAACTAATAAGTACGCCATTATTTGTAGTAGTAGGACTTTATTAGTTGCCAAATTTTAATAGTACCTACTAGATTTGGGGTAAAACGGGGTGAATAGAATTGGAGGTGTGAAGATACACGAAAGGGGTGAATGGATTTCTTCTGTTTGTTTTACGTGCTGAAAATATAAGGTAATACGGATAGGATTTATGAGTGTAGGCCTTACTTGCACCCACAAATCATAGATGATACCCAAAATCCGTAACCAGGACCGAATTCAAAATAAAAGTTTCCGATAATATCGGATAGGGGCGGAGCCTAATTAAGACATGTTATGTTTGTATTAAACTTTTGAAATTCCTTATTTTTTTTTATATCCGTAAATGAAATTATCCGAAACTAAAGTACTTATAATAAATATTTTCATATCCGTGTCCAAAATTTTATAGCTATAGCATCCCTAATGATATAAAGACTCACTTTCCGATCCATTGAAATCGCTTCCACTGAATATGCAGCAATCATTATTTTTGATTTCGGAAAATCGTTCAATGCCTTCTTCCCAGAGCGCGAAGGAGTGTCAGACTCTTACCGACTTAAAACCACACTGCTGCTGCCTGTTCCGGGCCGGCGTTCCGGTGCATTACAGCGCTCTTTTTGTGAGTGGAAAATGATCAAATGTCTTCTCCCGCCAAGGTGGGGAGTGAAGGAGTCTCAGATTCTTATTGACGAAAACCGTCCCGTTCCTTCTCCTGCTCTAGGCCAAAGTCATGATACCCTATTGCACTTATCCCGCAATCCTGGCTGAACATCAGCACTATCTATATAGCTGAATACGGCCCAAGACACCCACCCGCGTTTACGGTGGCATAACGCTTGTACGTGCAACCAACCTTTTTTGAGAGCTGGATCCACGCGTGGTGTTTACTGAGTTGTAGTGAGTGCGATAAAAGATATAATTGTTTGACAAGGCTAATAGGCAGCTACTGTCCAACTGAATTAAACAGATCTTCTTATATATAAAAGTTATGAGATAGAAATCCGTATTCTATTCTGTTACTGACGGTTTACTCCAAAGTTGCCTACTTTCAGGGGAAAACAAGTGCATAAGCATTAGCACATGATCACAATGCCTCATAAAGGTCAATAAATGTTGAGAAAGGGCTTGAGACTTTATTATTATAAATTCTGTTAATATCTGTAATTCAAATAATATTTACAAACTTTTCCTCATAAGTACAATAGGCGGTAAAACCTATTAGGAACTATAGATACCTACCTTCTTACTAAGATAACTTTGATATAATTAACTGACCACTTATTTCATTTCTATATTCATCAAAATATTGCAAAACACACACGCATGCATTATCTCATCATTTCCGACAAATGACGATATCTAGTTATTTAGGGGTCCGCGACCGACAACATACTATTACGAAAACCAAATTACTATTAAGTACTAGGTGTTACTGGCGATCTAACCTTCGCACTCAGAAAAATAATATCTAAGACAAAATATCAAGAATATTATTATGATTAATTTTCTATCGTTAACAGAAACATTTATTACATCGCACACCCCACACATAATAACGCTTTTTGTGATCCATAAATTATAGATCCGGGTCTGATTGTTAGGTATATGTTCGCGAAATTGGCAAAATTTATTGCGCGATACGAGTAAAATATTTAGATTGGGCAAATTAAAAAAAAATCTTTAAACAACATCACATTTGTAATCAATAAAACAATGAATTTATTTTTGTAATAGGCCATAAAACAGCACTTTAACTCGTCAAGATTATATGTAAAAAACTAGATGAAGCCGGCATTTCCTATCTGACTACTCTGAGAAGAAATGCCGAAACAAGCTCAGAGGTCCGTCTCTTTAGAAATAAGATTATTGCAGTAGAAATAAGAGATGCAAAAAAATAGTGGACAATGTAAATAGCGTATCACCCACTTTTCTTCCGAAAAATTGAGTTGTGGTTTCAGTTTCATGTAACCAATTGCCAAACATTATTACCTGAACCAAAAATTCTTCAGAAATCGGAATAAGTAAATGACCTATCCTTATCAATATATACGGAACCTGCATTTAAATAAACTAATACACTTGCTTACCCTAGCTTCGAGTGCTAATATAATCGTCAGTGTGCTACGAGGTCCAGTGGCACAAACAACTAGAATCGGTAAGTCAAGTTATGTCATACTTATTTAAGTAAACCACTTAAGTATATCCAAAGATTGTTTGTATTCGCTAGTTTTAAGGTTCAAGTTTGCATAGCAACTAGGTATTTTGTTTTAAGTATTTTTTATTTGACTGTATTTGGTGACCTTTAAATCATTATAAATCCTTGTGGAATATTAAACTAGGATTTTCTCCTATGCTGTGAGTGCGTTAACAAAAATATACCTTTTTTGACAGAGGAAAATTATCAAATAACTTTACTCGCCCAGTGTGAAGCGAGAGGACCAAAATTCACATACACATAACACCTAGGTACATCTGACTCGAAATTGGGTAAATCACACAAAGAAATAATTATGCTGAGCGAGAATCGTACCCGTGGCACGATGCATAGCGGCTTGATAGTCAACAACTATGCCAACTATGCAGTAAACATTAATTTTACTGCATAGTTGGCAAAGGGATTTTTTAGTTCTATTATTCTATTAGAAAATTATTCTGGAGAGAATGCCTTCGGGCATTAAGTCCGCCTTTGTATATATTTTTTGTATGTACATAAAGTGTTAAAATAAAATAAATAAATAAATATTATCGCAGGCATTGTAATTGAATTTGTGATTGACATACTTACATGTTTGTCATCCAACATTCATAGTCTATACTAACAAGTTCCTTCTGAACATAACCATATTGTGTAATCATGTCTTCAGAAAAACAGTGCATGTATCTACCTATTTGTCTTTCTTAAATACTCCTTCCAATAATAACGGTATTTGGTCTTTGAAAGTCGAGAGTTACACCCAATAAGGTTTAAACAGCTCTGAGAATTAAATGCGTGATTATTTTGTACGGCTGTCGCGGTAACAACAAACAAATCAGCGCGATAGTCGAAAAATAAACATATGATATACATTCAGTCAACAAAGTATCGGGAATGAATGTTTTTTTTATGGTTCCAAATTCGAATTTTAATTTTTTTTTGTTGTTTTTAGATTGGCGTAACTGTTTTCAATTTTGGCGCGGAATTTGAGTTGCATCTGTTACCTATTTATATTAAAAACAGTGCTGTTTTTAGTTTTATAATATCTAGTGTGTATTGCGAATTTCATAATGGACAAAAACAATGAACAAAGAGTTTGTCTTAAATTTTGCATCGCCAATGAAATTTCGTGGTGAATCGACTGTATCAAAAACACGTGCTTATGAGTGGTACAAAGCGTTCAAAAGCGGTCGAGATGTGATGGAAGATTTGCCTCGTTCTGGTAGGCCATCAACGTCTGCAACTGAAGTTAACATCGCAAAAGTGAATTAAATAGTGACTGAAAATCCTCATTCAAGTTTGAGAGAGATGGCCGCCGAACTTTCTGTATCTCACGAGTCGATCCGTACCATTTTAACAAATAATTTGGGTATGAAACGTGTTGCCGCTCGGCTAGTCCCAAAAAACCTGAATTTTCTTCAAAAACTAAATCGCATGAAAGTCGCTGAGGACATGCTAGAACGAGTCAATACCGACCCAACATTCATGAAACGCGAACGAGTTTGACATGCAAACCTATCAACAAGCTTCGGAATGGCGCCTTCCAACTGAACCAAAACCGAAAAAACCACGTCAAAGTCGATCAAAAGTCAAAGTCATGTTGACTGTTTTCTTTGACTATCGCGGTGTTGTGCACTCAGAATTCTTGCCCGAAGGTCAAACGGTAAATAAAGAATATTATTTGAGCGCTATGTAAGAGAACAAATTCGACGAAAAAGGCCAGAAATGTGGAAAGAAAATTCTTGGATTTTGCATCACGATAATGCGCCTTCGCACAAGGCCATCGTTGTAAACGATTTTTTGTCCAAACACTCAACAAACACCATCGAGCAGCCACCATATTCACCAGATATGGCTCCAGCCGACTTCTTTCTTTTTCCCACACTCAAATTACCCCTTCGTGGCACCCGTTTTCAATCGTTAGGAGACATAAAGGAGAATTCGCGGCGAGCACTGAACTCGATTCCGGAAACAGCGTTTAAAAAAAGTTTCGATGATTGGATTATTCGTTGGCGTAAGTTTATCGTTTCTGAAGGAGCATACTTTCAAGGTGATAAAATAAATTTAGATGAATAACAAACATTTTGTGTATTATTGACTTTTTCCCGGTACTTTCTTGACAGAGTAGTAAGTCTGTTGTTGGCCCAAAGGTTAAGCGTCCGCTTCTCATGCATGAAGAGGTCGAAATAATGTGACTTTTTCCAAGTAATATGTACTTTCTCAAGTTCATTAAGACACCACATACATACGGAACTTTGAAGGAAAACTTGGTGAGGAAACCTGGGCTTATAATTTGTAATAATATTGTAATTATAAGTTTATATCAAATTATATTGTAATTATAAGTTTGAAATCGCCAATCCGCCTTGAGCAAGCGTGGTGATTAATGCTCAAACCTTCCCCGCGTGAGAAGAGTCCTGTGCTCAGCAGTTGGCACTTACCCATAAGCTGATGATGTGATAAGTGTGTTAATATTAATTAAATAACTTACATTTCATTACCTACGTGAACTTTAACATTAGCGCTGTTATCGTAAAAATATGTTTATCCAATTACATCGATAGTAACAGAGAGAATAACAAAAATAAGAATTTTGATATTATTCAAATAATGTCTTCGTTCCCATCCCATTCTTCACCATACCTACATGTAATAAAAACCAAACTTTTTACAACTATTTAGCCTATCTGCCATTCCAGAATGTATCCTAGGCCTGTGCCAAATTTCATCCAGATCCATCCAGCCGTTTTGGCGTGATTGAGTAACAAACATCCTAACTTTCGCATTTATAATATTATAGTTTGTAGTTTAATAGTATAGTACCTATACTATCAGTATATGAAGTAAGATTGCGAAACGAGCCACAAATACCTACAAAGACAACCTTATAACTTATTGAAAAGGTTTAAAATAGATCAAAAAATTTACAGGTATCCCATTTTAATTCCCATGCAGCTATAAAATATTTTAAATATATTAACATTAAACATGGGACGTACCTACTAATGAAAAGTTTCCTTGTTTTCAGATCAATATGCGTTTAATATTAATAGCGCTGCTGGTAGCATGCGCGCGCGCAACCCCACAGTACACAAAGACTGGGGGCGTTAAGGGAGGGCACAGCGGACATGGATATCCCCACGAAGGGTATAATTTGGTCAAGTAAGTATATCACTCAAGTATATCACTCAGTATATCAATATTCCTAAACGTCACAAATGGAAATAAATTTACAGTAAAAGCAAAGTAAATAATTCCATAGAACAAGGTTTCGTAAAAATAGAATAGTAGTCTGTCAGTCTGTTCGTCAGTGAAGCTAGGTGGTTCACTTCATCACTACATACAGATTATGTAAGTAGAATAAAACAGAGTCGCTTTCTGTTTTTATATCCCTATGTATGTTTAAATCTTTAAAACTAGGCAACGGACTTTGATGCCGACACATTTAGGTAGGTACCAAGTTTTATATGTAAAATAACACCCATCAAAAACATCATTTATTTATGCTTTCATCTGTGACACCAAAGAAACAATGAATTTGTTTAAACCTTAAAGCTAAAAGTGCTTTTTACACTTCAAAATTATATGAAGCCATTTCCTACTTACTCAGAAAAAATGCCGAAACGAACTCCTCCGCCAGCAGACCTAATTATGTAATCTATGTATTTGTGTAAATTGAATTAAATGAAATGATAAAAGTACACTTGTAAGTATCCTAAGTTATTTTTGTTGACAGCAACTTTTACAACAACGGGAGTCATCATCAAGGCTATGGGAACTATGGGGGCTATGGACAGACTATGAATATGACAGGACCCGTCAACTACGAGATAGGAGTCTGCTACATCGAAGTCCCGTAAGTAGCATCTAATACTAAGTACTAATTCTTATAGCATACTGTATATTAAGTGACCCAGAAATCGTCAACCCACCTTGGGCAAGCGTGGTGATCAATGCTCAAACCTTGTCCGTATAAGAGGAGCTCCTTTCCGGCCTCTGCTCAACAGTGGGCACTAATTAATTAAATATCACTGAAATACGGTGAACGAAAACATCGTGAGGAAACCTGGACATATTATTATAATTTCTAATTATACATTTGAAATAGCCAATTCGCATTTTAATGCTCAAACCTTCTCCTCGTGGGAAGACGATGATATGATACCTTTCCATATAGATATAATCACTTATCTTATTACACGTTTAGACAAGACAAGACACTATCATGACATTTAGGATTTAATTAAAAAATAAGAGCTTACAACTTAATTTAACATATTTGATACTGTTGATACATTTTCCCTATATTTGCTTTCAGAACAGCCAGTCTAGTCAAGGATCCTAGTCACGTTCCTGCTGGTAACGGGGTAAGCAAAAATCGTATTAAATTATTATTATTATTTTTTTGTAGACAACATATCTATTGCAACTATTTTTTATTCTTGACTACTAATCCTTTGACTTTTATGTTGTAACTTAGTCTGTGACTTAGTTATAAATTCTGCATGTTATAATTTCCTTTAAATGAAAGTGTGGACTTCCTTAAATAACTTCACTATACAATATCTATGTCATGTCTAAATCTGTGCACAAAAGCGCATCCTATGATCGAGTTTCCATGTTAATAAAAAAATAAAGCTTCTATAATTTCGAACTCAGGTCAGCAACCAACTCCCATGTAGGTACAACATTGACACAAATAATATAACCAAAGGTGACAAGTACACGTGTAAAACACGCGGCCTTATAAGAAAATTATAATCTCATAACGTATTTAAGATGTGGACCTGCAGCTCACGTCTTTATTGAAAAATCCACCCAAAACCCAAAACTATAAGTCATATTTCACTTTCCAGTCGCGTCCAGATCTGAGTCGCATTAGGAGTTGCTGTAGTGGTTACATTAGGAACATCCACAACTACAGGATCTGTGACCCAGTGTGCGACCAAGAATGTGTGAATGGGCTCTGCAGTGCACCAAATACCTGCACCTGCTTCCCCGACCACGTCAAGAACTTGGCTGGTTTCTGTGTAGCAACTTGCCCCATCGGATGCCAAAATGGACAATGTTCTGGGGGAGAATGTATCTGCAAAGATGGATACAGATTGGACTCGGAAAGCAAATTCTGTGTTCCAAACTGCAGGGAGCAGTGTGGTGGTCCTGGAAGAGGTGGGTGCGCTTTTTTGTCTGTTTGTGTATTTTTTGTAGGTAATACTTAGATTTAGATTATACTGTCAAGGAGTGCATGGGCACTACTCTCATTGATTATGAAAAATATTTCAGTTATTGCAAAGGGCCGTATGGTTTCGGTTCTTTAAATTTTGAAATAAAGAAGGAAAGAGACAAAAATATACATATAAGCGGATGAAAGAATGAAAGAGAAAAAAATATTTGTTAATTTTTCTGCAATTAGATGGCGTTAGTCTAAAAATACAATACTAACGTAACTATGAAACTTTATTTAGACGTGTGTACAATATAGTACAACTGTACGATCCATATTGATGACAATTGAAGACAATTTAGATTGGTAGTAATTACTGTTTGATGACCAAACATACATATGTGAGATAGCTCATGTCTTTATAAACGTCAAAGTTGAATGGTCCATCAGTAAAGCGAATTGAGAACCTCCTCCTTTTTTGAAGTCGGTTAATTAAGACGTTGCACCCGAAAGAGGAGAATTACTAGTAGTAAGTCTACATAAAAAAACATCAACAGCTCATCCTTCTTATAGGAAACTGCACAGCTCCAAACACATGTGAATGCCAGCCTGGGTACAGGGCTACTCCCGAAGGATCCTGCAAACCTTCGTGCGACCATTGCAAAGACGGCCAGTGTGTGGGCCCAAATGACTGCCGCTGTTCTTCTGGATTTAGCAAAGACCATAACGGTGACTGCATCCCACAGTGCTCAAGGTAAAATTCAGAAACAATCAATCATTGATCACACAAACACATAATTTTTGGACTAAACTGTAAAATGTACCTTATCATATTAACAATACGAATAAATTAAATGTTAGGAAAAATATTTAAAGGAGTGGGATTGCATCCTGCAATAAGCCTGGATTTTTGTCGCGGAATAAAAACTAAATATTTTTCCTAACATTTAATTTTGATGTCATGAATTTCTGCAAAGTAACGTCTGATTCTATAAATTATCTTAATAGGAATAAATATATTGAAAATTAAAATTTTGATAAACTTCTAGTAAGGTGTCATCAGTATTGTAAGTACATACTAAGTACCTATGTGTTTTTTATTCTAAGGTATATTAATTACATTATAATTTATTTTTCAGCCCGTGCCCGCCACCGAAACGCTGTGTCGCTCCCAATGTATGCGGGGACCCGTCAAACCCCTCCTCCTACAACAACACAGGCTCTCCTTACGGCAGACCACCAACTTACAATCAAAACCAAAATCCTAACAACCCTTACGGCCAACAACCTCAAAATCCCAACTATCCCGGTTATCAACAACCTAATTACCCTGGTAATCAACACCCTTCCTACCCAGGTAACCCATCAAATAACCCAGGTCAACAACAACACACCTACCCTAGTAGTCCACGTCCTCCTGGAGCCCAACCAAACAATCAAACCGGTAATCCTTCTTACAACCCCGGTTATCAACCCTCTAACTACCCTGGTAATCATCCCTCTAACTACCCTGGTAATCAGCCATCTTACTACCCAGGGTATCAACCACCACCGACGTATCCTGGAGGTGCCCAATATCCAGGTTACCCTCAAAACAATTACCCTGGTGGACCATACCCCGGTAGCCAAGCTTCCAATCACACAAGCCCTGGTTACAACCAACCAGGAGTGCCTCCGACTTACAACTCGAGTGTTCAACAACCTCCGTCTCCTTACGGACAAAGACCATCAAATCCACCGGGTCAACCTATCTACACCCACATTCCTAATAACCCGCAGCCCTTGTACCCTGACAGTCAACACTTAGGTCCAGATCACCGACCTAATCCCGCTTACCCTTCTTCGAATTCAACTCAAGGAGTGCCCAGTGGACCAAACTACCCCAACCCTCAATATTACCCTATCAACCAGTACTACCCAGATCAGAGACCTAATCCAAGTCCCCTGCAACCTAATCAAAGGCCGAATAATGCTGAGCCTTACTACCCTAACAGTCAGTATTACCCTGGCTACACCCAGCAGTCTTCATATAACCAGGAATCGGTGTACCAGCAGAATATCTACCAGGAGAACCAGATGTCAGCTGTGGAGCTCTTATGTTCTATCCCATGTGTTAACGGCACCTGTGTGGGACGAGACGTGTGTGCCTGTAACACTGGATATGTGCCTATTGCTGGAGACACATCGAGGTGAATTATTTACTATAATACGCATCTGCATATTATTATGTATTTCAAATTATGCTTTTTGGGCGTCTGTTAGGTATTTACTCACATAAGATCTTGCCGCAGAGTGGAACATCTCAATTTTAAATTCGTTAAAAATAACTATTAACTCTCGTGAATTAATTGAGAAAAGCTCTTCTAGTTTCTAGTCGCAACGGGACTCTTATTCGTGAGCAGCGTGCGCGTTACGGCGAAGTCGGGAATTGAGTACATAATGTCTCACGATAGTAACTGTACAAAAATACCTTCATCTTCTGGATTATTTATGAGACCACTACATAAAGTCTTCACTACATATACTCCAATATCTTCAGCCAAAAGACGTCTTCTGCTCAAATAATACTGCTTTTTCTCTGATAAAGGATGTTTACTATAATACCAAGCGATGTGGGGAGCAAGAGATTTATTAATTTGTATTAGAATTAAAAGAAGAGAAGATTAAGAGAAGAGTTGAACATCGAACTCAATGGCGTGCATTTGGGAACGCCTATGTCCAGCAGTGGACGGAATCTGGTTGATGATGATGATGATGATAAGAATTTAACTGTTATGTTACCTATTATCTATCTTCGAATACGCTTATCTCAGGAACAACTAGTTCGAATCGAGAAAATATTTTTGTGTTTAATAAACCATTTACTGAAGAAGGCTATAATATATCTCGCTACGATCAGTAGGAGCCGAGTAGCGAGTAAAACCGCGCGAGAGTAGCTACTTTATTACGAATTAATTATTACTATTTTGTTCCAGGTGCGAGCCATACTGTTCTGGTTGTACAAACGGAGCATGCGTGTCCCCCTATGTGTGCCAGTGTCACCCTGGATTTTACAAGGACTTTAGTGTCAAGGGACGGACCAAATGCGTGCGACGCATCAGACGGTCCGTTGATGAAACCCCAGCACCTGTAAACATTGCTGATCTACTAGTGTTTGAAATACCAGATGATTATTAAAATTAATAAATGATTTATCGTTTGAGAGACTTTTTTATTAAGAACTAGTGTGAGGCTTACCTACTCAATGATTTGAATATGACAGTTTTCTCACGTGAATTAAGTGAGACAATCTGTAATACTCGTAGTTTCAAGTCACAGCAGGACGGACAGTACTTATTCACGCTTAATGAATAAGAGTAAGCGAGTAAGTCGTCATTTTCAATACGGTTGAGAGATTTTTCTTACCTTTCATTATGGAGGCACGTTAAACGTGTGATCATAATGTTGTGTTAAGTAGGTTTGAATAGTGACTGCTTCATGAGTATGTATATCGCTAGTAGAAAACTGAGCAAGGAGTTTTGACCATCAGGAATACTATGATTAAGCAAAGTCTACAGACTTTTTCAAATTATCAGCTATTTACATTATTAAGGATAGAATTTAGTATGACGATCCGTGACGAAATTTGACACAAATATTTAATAATCAAACAGTAAAATCATCGTCTGACATAGATTGCTGTTTCCTTCATAAATGTATTAACACTTCTGTAATAAATTTAATTCTGCTGTTTAACGTGCTCCTCATAATTGGCGTAATGAATCAAATGTTTCTTTTGGTTGTAATCATTTAATTTTGTACGCTGTGGAACTTACTAGGTTTGTCGGAACTTACACATGAACTTCTTTACTACTTTTTCCAAGAAATGCGGGTGAAATTTCTGGCAGAAGTCATGCTATGCCATTTTTAAGTCATAAGAATGTAAATAATTGTTTTTTGGACTTAAAAACATAAAGTAAAAATAAACATAAAGTCGGTATTACCTAGTACTAAAATAACATTGTATTTCTAGCCTTAAACAAAAGACAGTCCCCCTTGAAACAGCATGTATTGTATAGAGGTTTCTGTCTCTGGAAGCCCAACCAACGCCGGTAGCTTGGACAATTCTCCAGCTGCCAGCCAAGTCCTTTTTAAAAAATAATAATATTATTTTATTGTGAATTACAAAGAATTTAAACTTTTATTTTTAGAACTGTTTAAATAAACATGTGGAATAAAATAACAAAAATAATATAGGTTTATTGCAACTCAAATTTTTACAATTATTGATTTATATACATTTAATGAGGCAACCCCAATAAGTAATTAATACAAGTGGTGGAGTTGCCCTCATAAAAAAATATTTTAAATTGTGGATATTAAGAATACCTGTTAATAATTTGCTAAAGTAATTTGCTAAACAACATAATCTACTAAACTCCCGTCACAATGATATATTGATCGATCAGAACACATTAATAATTATTATAAAATTTTAAAATAATTTACGAAGTCATTTTAAGAGGATTTTTTTTATTTAATTTATTTAAAAAATATTGGTAATATCATTTTCAGCCTGTTAAACTACTGGTTATAAAAACAGCACCTATCTTGTAAGGTCTATATTAAGTACTGTTCAAATAACTTTGTGCTTGTAAAACCAACCAAATAACTTTCGCAATAGATATTAAAATTCATTTGACAATTGACACTTATCTAACATTCGTCTTTATACGACTGGAATATACTTTATTTTTAACGATCACTAAAATAAAAGTACTTATTTATAAAAAACTTAGTCAACACAGGTCAACACATTGTGTAAAATATTATCTCATAACAACACCAAACGGTTTTGAATTTTATGCTACAAAACTTTCAGTCCAATTTTGTATTACGTGTGATGAAAAAGTAGATTCACAATACAAATAGTAAAACACGTTAAAAATGAATGACAGACGAGGGAACAATCACAGCAATAGAGGCAATGTCCAATGCAATTATAGCAACAGTTTTCTTTTGTTTTTATAGGTGAACTAGTGTCCACATGCGCCGGCGCACCTTCGGCAACCGACAACGACTCCAATGTACCGGACAACTTCGTACTTTTCTCTGGACACTTTAAATATTGCACTAAATTATCACCAGTAATTGTTTCACGGTTTTCATTATTCATTTTTAGTCGATTTTCTTGTAAAACTATACTTAATATTCTTATTATTACACGATTGAACACTTCCTTGTACCTTAAGATAAGAATAAAAACAATGACTTTATGAGTATATTAAATTAACGATGGTGATTGGCCGAGCTTACGGCATGGTGCGTCACGCGTCGCACGCGCCGCTTGCCCCACTGACAAGCGTTCATTTATACTGTTACGGGTCAATTGTTCGGAAAATACTCGTTACAATCTTGGTGAATACTATTCTTTTACCTTATTCAGTTGTATATGTATACGAGTAAAGGTAATTGTATTGAAAACAACTTTAATGCTCAATTTATAGTATTGGATATGTAGGTACATATAATAAAATCAAAACTATTAACAATAGCTCATCATCATCATTAGTTGATGTTGCTATCGGGTTTTATATGTATGTTAGTAGAATAATATGTATTGTTGTACCTTCTACTTTTTGCCAGCGGTACCATTTTAAAAAAGTATTTTTGTTATTCGGAACTATAATATCTATGTCTTTTTTTAGATCCGTTCTTCAGAACTACTGTTCCGAATTAAACAAATATTTTTATTTCGACATAGTCCATTTAGCAAGGAACGCTAATAAAACATTACGTTATGAAACTGCGGAATTACTGAAATTGAACAATTATTTTTTTGTTTGTTAGTCCATATATCTAATAATATTGAGAAATCCTATAGGCTATAAAACATCACGCTAAGATCTGGAAAGAGCTGAGCAGCGGGTGAAACTGCACGACATTAGCTAGTTAATATAATAAAGAGTGAAGATTTGACTGTCCGTATTAAAAGGCTTCGAAACTACTTGACCGATTTGAAAAAAAAAACACTTTTGGGAAGTTTCACTATGCGCGGTAAGTAATCATAGGTTTTAGTATACTAGCTACTCTCGCACAGTTTTACCCGCTGCTCGGCTCCATTCGATCGTAGCGTGATATTTTATAGCTTATAGCACTCAGGAAAATTGTAGCTATCTATCAGTCAAAGAATTTTGGCAATCCGACCAGCGCGGCAGCAGTTCCAAAGTTAGACCCTACCATGCAAACTTACAAACATAATCTTATAAATTTTACCTCTTTATAATATTAAGCATAGATTATAATTATTGCGAGTCAAACCGCGGGGCTGAGTTAGACAGTTATTATATTATATTCCCATGCAATAGGTCATATTATTATTAATTAATCCTACTTTATAATAGAAATTAATATCCTATAATTAAGTAGGATTCATTAATAATAATATGACCTATTGTATTGCATTATATTCCTATTCTGGCATAATACATGGGCTACTTTGTATGCTGTCTATGGCTTTTTACAACTAATACATACTGGGGACAAGAGCGCTTTGTTATAGGCTTCACCTATTTGCTGACTAAGTAAGTCCTGACTCAGTCCAAGCTATACTTCTCTTGCTGAATAAAAACCAACCCGGTGTTCCTCCACTTACCCATGTATTGTGTCGAAGGGGCGGGTATCGCCGAAGCATTCGTCCCGGCCCGACGGGTATTGGCCCGCCATATGGTTTGGCGGGCCCCGTCACACACTGCGGCCGTCACCCCGACCGAAGGACTCAACTATGAGGCGCGCGCTGAACACGGCACCGCCGTCTCGAGGCCTGCTGCTGGTCGGACGACAAGACGCCCCGAGTCTGTCGTCCGCAGCGCGGCCTGCGGACGACAGACTCGGGGCGCCCTACGGTGGCCGCAGGTCGGCCACCCGACGACGTCTAGTCCAAGCTATCTCCTTACACGCAACCTCTCCTCCGTTTTCTTACAAAAATCCAATTTTTTTTATTCAATAATTTAATATAAATTCTATTTTTTTTAAAAGATTTTTACAAAATCCGTATAACAGCTTGCAGAAACAAATCCTTACTCGATAGTACCTACCTACTTTGCCACAGCCAAGTCGTGGCTGTTGTACCTTCTTATAACTACTTTATCGAGGATCTTTCGAGCAGTTGAATAATTATATTATTAACTATTGATAAAAAGTTTCTATATTGGTTTATTTATTTTTTTATATTTTTACATCTGAAATTTGTATGTCTTCCAACGGAGGCGGGTTGCCAGTTTGTACAGGATCACCTGATAATAAAAAATAACGTATCAATAAGTACTGACAACACTGCTCAAAACTGATATATGTAATGGACAGAGATACTTAACATCATAATAACAACAATAACATAATAACATCATATAACAATGTTCCAAAAATTTAGCTTCGGTATTTTCCTGAACCTTTTTTTTATTTGATTGTTTTGTTTTTATTCTTATTTAATCACTAAAGCAGGCCTGGTCGAATATAAACGAGAAATTACTTACCTTCAACAACATAACTCCTTCCTTTGAAAAACGTTCTAACGGGTGAGCATCTCCAAACTAGTAGAAACGCTGCAAGTATGGCTGTTGTGACTATAACTAATATTGGTATGAAAACAGGCATCCAATGTTCTTCAATCCTGTAAAGAATTAAAAATAATCAATTTTCGTTTTCTGCGACTATTTGTAACGAAATCAGTGCTACGTGGATTATTTCCCCGATGTTATTGCATCGTTAACTAAGAAATTTCTCGATTAATTCTGTTTATTTCTCTTAGAGGCACCTTCCTATGAGTAGATGCAATAGTTACTTTTTTATCGTCACCCAGAAGCTGCTCACTACTGGAGTGAAGTGCTGTCCTTAAAGGGTCCTCGTTGACGAGCAACTTTGGTGCGTAAAGGACAAATCAGTTCGCGAAAACAGATCCACTAAGAACTTTGGTTAGCTAAATTGCATTAGGTACAATGTTTTTCCATTGTAGGTTCTTAACAAACTTAATGAAATAACTCACGAAAAGTATCCACCTGCCGCAGTTCAGATACAATGGTCCAACTAAAGTCCCATGACCGTGTAACCTCTTAATTGGATATGGGTCCCAGACCAGCTGAACTACTCACTAAGACGCAGATATTTACGTCAAACAACTAAATTTAAGAAGTATTACTATTATATTGCTAGGTACTTACCATGGTTTTTGAAAATTTTCTCCGCTTGTTTCGTTAAAGTGAGGACTCAAAGTAACGTTAGATGTTCTAGTTGACATTGTAGTTGTTGAAGATTGTAGATAAGGTGTTGCAGTGGACGTTGTAGTGGGTATTGTACCTGGAGTTGCAGTAGACGAGGTAGTACTCGTACTGGACGTTGTGGTATTTTCATTACGTGGAAAAGGAGGAGGATCATAGTCATATAAAGGATCATAGTAATCATCATCCCATATTTGCGACTCTGATGTCAGTCCCAGTTCGCATTTGTTTGGAGCAGTACAGTGTCCTGCACATCCAGTACATGTTGGTACACAAATTGTTGCATTTGGGTTAGAGCCATGCAAGAAAGTATAGTTAGTATCCATGTGATATCCACTATGACACGCACACACGTTTGGAGCCACACATGTACCGTTGCCACAAGGGTGAGAACATTGAGCAACGCATCTACCATTCTCCAACACCCATCCGCTAAAACAAATCGGTTCACAGCCACCTGCAGATTTTTTGTACGAAGGCAAACAGACACAGTTTTCTGGAGCGACACAAACTCCGTTTTCACAAGGTGTTGAACACACTGGTACGCAATGTTTAAATGAAAATTGTTTGGTCTCTTTTAGCTCCCATCCAGAGTGACATTGGCAGGTTTCAGGAGCAACACAGATTCCATTTTCGCAGCCGTGAGAACAATATGGTTGACATAGATTATTCTCTGATTTTCTATAGCCAACGAGGCACTCACACGTCTCTGGAGCAACACAAGTACCATTGTGACAAGGAGCAGTGCAAACTGGCTGGCATGTGCCGTTTACGAGCGTGTATCCGAAGTTACATTGACATGTGTCCGGGGCGACACATGTACCGTGCTCGCAACCTTTCTTGCAGGATGGAACGCAATTGTGATCATCTTCAGGGTCTGGAATATATCCATCATTGCACTCGCATTCTCCTGGAGTTTTACATCTTCCATTTTTGCAAGCTGGCATACATATTGGCTCGCATACAATGTCACTGAAAAAATATTAAGAAACCTAATTAATCTAGGGAACCCAAATAATTTTTCTTTATTGTGACATAATATATACACTCTCTCCTATTTTATAAATAAATTTAGTTCAGGTGTTCCCTAGGCACTTTACATTTAATTTTCAAAGTTTATCTCTTTCGATATCATTATTATTATAATTAACTATATTAAGTTAACTCTTTCTTGTAAATGTAATTGCGTTAAAACTTATTATTACTAAAAACAATTGACCTAGCTGTATAAAGTGTGATCTTTGTTTTTCAATAAATTTAAATTTATTTATTTTTTATTTATTTATCATAATATGTATTGCATGCACATAACAGAATTGGTTTATATTTATTTCCCATTATACCCATATCAATTTTTGGTGTACTATTAATATGTTTATGTAAATAATAGCAAAATAAATATTACTTATTAGTATTTCTCCAAACCATGATCTTGTAGCGAGCTTACCTATCGTCAGCTGAGTCATCTTTCCTTATGTAGCCAGTACAGCAAAACTTTATAGTCTTCACTTCTCTTTTCTGAAAATACCAGGAGTACATGTAAGTCAATTTTGTACATATACCATCTTCAATCTAATGGCAAGCAATCAGCGCCGCCCGTGGACATCCGCATCGCCCAAAGGACTTTGTTGCCGGCCTTGTAGCTTGTAGGGTATATATATATATATATATAAAGGTTTCGGATATTTAAGGATAAGATAAGATAAGATATGATATATTTATTTAGTTAAAACATGAGTAATTACAATAAAGGTGTTTTTGGTATATACAGAGTCTACATGTTTTGCCATTTATGGCGTACTAAATTAGTCACTTTAGGATTGGGAAGGGATGAGGGAAATACAACGCTGTGGTTGTTTGAGGCCGTGGTATCACTCCGGTCGATTCCCCCCATTCATGCCGACGCTTGACTCTCCCACAATTTGGGTTTTAGTCAATAAGTAAGAATCTGACTCCCTGTCGCTTCACCAAGGGCAGGACGAGCCATTGGATGATGTTCCCGCCAAACAAATGACAGAATGTAAATAGCTACATATTTAGTAATGGTAAAGTTTATTAAAGCCGATTCCCAAAAGACGGTGTCTCCAAATACAGGATGTCTATGTTTAGCGGTAGGCTCCAATCACAAGTTTTATGAATAAAATAAAATCTCTATTTCATTTTCACGTTTAAGGATTTATACTTAAGTATTAAAATCAAAATTAATTAAGTTAACAATAGGTGCGCGAACGCCATCGTCCTCTTGGGGTTTCATGAGTTAATATGTAAAGTCACTAACCGGCACACTCCCGCGTTCGACAGAATCTGCCCACTTGGTTCGAATGCATCTTGGAATGTAGTCGCAATTGCCATTGTAGGTAACCCGATACTTAATTTTGTATGTAACCGGCACCATTCTCGTCACACTGAAAACGGTAAGAATAATTTTATAATATTAGGCATTAAAACAGGCGTTTTTTTGTAAATCATGTGAAAGGTCGGCAAACGAGCAGACGGATTACCTGATGGTAAGCAATCAGCGCCGCCCATGGACACCCGCAACAACAGAGGAGTTACGAGTGCGTCGCCGACCTTTTGGGGGTTAGAGATTTGGGAGATTTAGGGATTGGGGAAGGATTGGGCCTCCGGTAACCTCACTCACACGGCGAAACACAACGATGTGGTTGTTTCACGTCGGTTTTCTGTGAGGCCGTGGTATCACTCCGGTCGAGCTCGAAGCATGGCTCTCCCACACTTAAGACACTTAGTGTCTGCCCCTATCGCCAAAACCTTCAACGCTTGTAAGCTAACATTTACAGTTAATACAATCATGGAACACCGATACCAAGCCTTATTTACCTACGAGTTAGAGCAACATACACTCAAAATTATTTTATGTCAAGCACAAGCAAATCTTTTAATGTAAGTAACTTCGCGAGATGTTCACTTAGATTTGTTTGATACCAGTGTTGCTTGTCTTAAACGTTGTCTAGTTAGTATACAATATGAGTATTGTGTACCTATATTACTATTATTCCAGCCATATTGTTCCTTTTAGCTCAGGGACATGAATGTGAAACTGTCTTGGGAAAAGCAAAATATATTTATTGTAGGAGGTGAAAGCACTTGAATAATTTCCACTTGCAAGAAGAGGAAACGTGTTTGCAGGCTAATCTACTTAGAACTTTTTCGTTGGCCTTTTAGGATATAGGTAATGTCAGTATATGAGTAGGTTAGGTTAGGTGCATGTGTTTGAAATTGACCTTACCTACCCGAGTCTAAGCAGACAACCTAAAAGTTGATGATGTTATTCATCATCATCATCATCATCATCGACAAGATCAGCCGGAAGACGTCTACTGCTGAATAAATGCCTCCCCCGAGTCCCTCACGTCGAACGACAACTCGCCACCTGCATCCACTGGCTTTCCACGATCCTAACGAAGTCATCCGTCCACCTAGCGAGAGGCCTGCCCAAGCTACGTTAACCAAATATTATTAACAAATAAAAAAAAAATCTAAAGAGGATACTTACAGTTGAACACGGTAACATATTTGTGCATCCAATTCAGTCACAAAATAAACGATCGCACACAAAAATATAACAGGACATTTTACACGCATTTTCATACTTAAGACGAATAGAAACAACGGGCAAATTGTAAATGGTTATTTATAATTGTACATAATTAGATATCTACTTATAATGCGAGCGTTTGTGATGTGGGGTGTTGGTACATACATACCAACTTCAATGTAGGTACTTAGTTGTAGGGTGACTAAGCTTTTATCAGTGAAAAGCTGAATACGATCGTCAATTATTATTTTATAATATTTTTTCTAAAAAAACTAGTATCACCACGTTGATTGAGTATGTGTAATGTTTAAAATTGAGGTTCCTTATCCTTTTTTTAAAATGTGCACCAACTCTTTCTAAGACAGATCTTCTGAAAGCTATTTTAAAAAAAATCTTGTTGAAATCTATAACGTGGTCACATGCATCCCTACGCGGAAAAATACACGATGCGTCAAAAAGACTGTAGGTAGGTACCTAGTAATGTAATAGTGTAGTATATGCGTTGATGACTACACATCCGTTTCAGGGCGTACATGAGTTGCGGATATAATAAAGTGATAACAAAATAAAATATCCCATATTATAATACCTAGATACCAACAAGTTTATAAACAATTTGCACTTATCTACACTAGCGGCCCGTCCCGACTTCGCACGCACGGGTCGGTCCGCAATTTCGTAAGTACATGTTATAATCTGTCACAGGGTTGAATGTACCTTTCGAATGTTTTTTTTTAAACCAGCTAATAGGTTCATTTTTAAAACAAAAGCGTAATTTGAACATAAAATCCATACTCCATACTAATATTATGAATGCGAAAGTCTGTCTGTCTTTTCTTCACGCCATAAACTACTAACCTATTTGTGTGAAATTTGGTAGGTACAGACATAGTTTGGAACTTCAGAAAGAACATATGATAGTTTTTGTTCGAGCTTCAGAAAGAACATATGATAGTTTTTAAACCAAAAATCTGCAGGAAGTCACTATACCACGCTCCGCGCGAGGAAAGACGCAGGCAAAAGCTAGTGATAATATTTCTTTTAAAAAACTCTGTCGAACTCTAGGGTTTTGTCCTGAATCGTGGTTGCGTTGGTATAAACACATACAAATTCACACACAAACCACCAGACCTAAAACAACAATTTGTAGATAACGTCTGACCAGAACCAGACCCGAGCCTACGGCGCGTAGCGTTCCTCAAAGACCCAATAGACAACCTCAGACGGGGCCTTATAGGGCTGATGTTCAACCAGGGCCGTGGGTTAAGCGCAATGAGTCACCGCGGTCTCGGCCCAGAGCAGTAGAAGGGACAGGGGGTTTTTAGTCAGTAGGAGTCTGACACTCTCTCTCGCTTTACCTCTTTGACGAATTGGAGAGAAAAGTGTGAATAAGTCACTTTTTAAACAGATCTGAAAAGAGCGTAGGTACTAATGGAGTTTTTTTTGCTCTTTTTTAATTATAAAAACTACACTTTGGAACTGGAAAATAGTTTCACTAGAAGGCTGACCAATAGAAATATACTTTAAACTTTTTTATTTTGTTTGACGTTGAAATAAATTATTTAACTTACACAGTAATAATTTCAAAACTTCAGTTACTTCAAATAAAACTGGTATTTAACCTAACTCTTATTACAATAGAACAAAAACACAAGTAGGTAGATAATACAAAAATCTAATAGCAATTGATACAAAGAAATATTGCTATGAATATTTTGCTAGGAAACAAAAGAACAAATACTACCTAACTCAAAAGTATTTAATTATTATATGAAAAAGTTTTTTCTTATATTGGTAATTCTATTCGTGTTCTATGTCTTATATTATGTCTTAGCATGAATGTTTAATAGATAATTGATATTTCTTTTAGAATTGGTTTTTATTCCCAAACCTTCAAACAAAAATGAGAAACAGGACACCTAATTGGTTTTTAGGCTCAGTGTTAAAAAAAAATGGTAAGGCATAATTCCACCACCTTCATAAGTACCTACCTAATAAACATGTGGGGTAGATAGTTCATACAAATTACTTTTTTTAATTCTCCTTAATATTGTAAATAGTGGATACCTATTATATATAGATAGACATTGTGTAGCAACCTAAATGCCTGTCTTAAAAAAGAAAACAATATGCTGACACGGAATGTTTATTTCAGTATCTGAAATGTTGAATGAGCTATGAAATCAGTACAGTGGTAGCTGCTAGTTGCTGAAGATAAACTTTTTGTAACAAGCTTTTATGTGTTAAAATACTGTAACAGGGTCTAGGTGTGGTGCATTTGAAAAAAAGGTTCAAAATATTGTTTCTCTAGATTTGTAAGTTTCAAATGTGTCTTCAGCCTCAGAGATGACATTGAATATTTTTCTTTTAACAGTATATTGCAGCCAAGTAGGAAACTGTTTGGTGGTCTCACACATACTTTCAAAGAATGAGTCTAATGGATGTTTGCTTGAAGTATAATTGCTATTATTTCTGCCATCCATATCAATCATTATTTCTCCTATATCATTTTCCACTTTCCTCTTTCTATATAGATGTTCATTTTCTAAGGATGTGTCCAACTTGTTAGTGTGAGATTCTGAGTTAAAGGTTAATGTGTCAGTGTTTGATGTAGATGGCTGTGTTTCTAGGAATGAGTCCGAAGGTGATGGTGAAGACTCCTTGTTTTCATCACTGGACATTGTAAGATTACGTCTTCTTTTCCTTGTTTTCATGTGTGGTAAAAGAAATTCCATTATATCTGCATATTTCCACTTATTGTTCAATGCTGTGTCTTGTCCATTAGCCAATGCTCGCACTCTTTTTAAAGAATCTCTATGACTATCTCTCAGTTTCTTCCATTCTGCTTTTGCTGTTTTAACTGCGAAACATTCATTGAAAAGTTTCAATATTTGTTAATATTTATTGGAAACAAAAGTGTACTTTACAGAGATATTACCAAATTATTAATATTTAATGGAAAACCAAAGAAACATTAGAAGATATTTATTACTAGGCTGTATGAAACTTTTATAGGCTTTTGGCGCTTAAATCTTGAGATCTGATCTTGACTTGAGGTAATTCAAATAAAACTGGAGTACCGCGATTATTTATATGTGTACTAAAATATGAAGAATTTATTAATGCCTTTTAATTTATACATGGGAAAAATTATGCGCAGCTAGCAAGTAAGTAAACTGGTCAGTGAGTATCTTAAGGAGTAAGTATTCTATGTACACAAACTTACCGTCGGGTATATCTTCGCATTTTAATTGTGTGACAATTCTTTTCCAAGCGATCTCTTTCTTTCTCATGTCGCGGTAATCTCGGCAACTAGTGTCCCACAAACAGGGTAGCTGTCGAACCATATCAATAAATCTCTCCATGGTCATACTAAATAATAAAACTACTGCTGATATCTAACTAAACACGAATCTAATGTTTTCCAACATTCAATAGCACTGGCTTCAATGAGCATTTTCTTTTTAAATTATATACAGAGCATGTATTGTAGGTATACTATTTATAGGTACCTATCATATTTATTTTATAATATTTACTTCATAAACTTATAAAGAAAAAAGGGTCAGTGGGTCGTCTTAGGGGCGGAATTAAAACTTTTTTCAAGTTTTAATTAAAAATTATTGAAATAAATACGTGTTTAGCTTTCTTCTTGTGTACATTGGGTATATTTATTTTGTGACTTTGACACTTGACAGTGACATTGACACTGACTAATATTGTGACTTTTTTCTTTGGAGTTTGTGGCCTGGATACATGTCTATTGTGATATTATAGTTGGGAAGTGTGGCCAACTCGGGCCAACTTAATAACACGGGAACAGTTTATGGAGTACCGAACCTTCTAGGTTAATACCTAGGAAAATAATCGTGATAAAAAATTTGCTGTACCTACCCGCTAACGTAAAGAATCGAAGAGTCATCAAATATTAGGTACTTTTAACTATTTTGGAAACTGTTCTTTCGTTGAGGTAGTAGTACCGAGTATTCTTCTTAGTTACCCGAAATAATCTTTTTTTATATTTTTAATTATTTTATACCTTCATGCTTTTTTATCACTGTAAATTACTCATCAAATCAAAATAATTCAAGGTCTATTGGCACTAACGCAAGTGCACTGCACCAATTTACCCCAACGATTTATGGATCATACAAAAAGTTACACAGTTTAGTACCACCCAAGCATAAAATCTGCGATACCTACATGAGCTTTGCATCAGTAGGTAGAGTGCAACAAACTAACAACTAAGCAAAACCCGCCGTTCAATTAAATTATTTGTATTTTATAAGCTGCTATTTTTTATAATTATGGTATGTCGGCAAACGAAAATAGGATCACTTGATGGCAAGCAATCAGCGCCGCCCATGTACAACCGCAACAACAGAGGAGTTACTAGTGCGTTGTCGACCTTTTGGCGATTAGGAATTGGGGAGGGCAAGGATTTGGCCTTCGGTAACCTCAATCAGTGTCTGTCGTTAAAATGGAAGTGGGCCGGTCACATAGCGCGCCTGCAAGATCACAGATGGATAAGAAAACTGTTAGAATGGAGTGGGCCAGAGGGCAAAAGAAAGAAAGGGAGACCATGCAATAGATGGGAGGACGAAATAAAACGCACAGCGGGAACTGGATGCAAATAGCGTAATCCAGAGAAAACTGGCTAAATTTGGAGGAGGCCTTTACCTGCAGAGGGGTTCCTACAGAATAATATACATGAATAAAATTGTACATATAAAACTGGTAATATTAACTTATAAGGTAACTTATTTAACTTTATTTGTATAAGTAATTAAAACTTTTGTTACTAAAAAAAGCTATTGTAGGTACATTTTTTCAGAGGGAAATAAAAGGCTTTTTTATTTTTATTTTTATTTTATTTTATTTTATTTTATTTTATTTTTATTTATTTATTAACCTCAATCAGAAGGCGAAACACAATGCTGTGTTTGCTTCACTCCGGCTTTCTGTGAGGCCACGGTACCACTCTAGTCGAGGCGACTCATTGCTCCCCCACACGCGATCAAAACGTTAATAACTTACAAAACATCGGCAAGGCACTTAAAACTTACAACCCAATGATATATTTTGCATAACCATCGAACATACTTAATGTATAACATGTGTAATACACAACCCATGTAGGTATAATATATGTATAAACAGAACCATCGTTATGTGGCAAAATCCAATAAAGGGAAAAAACGGACATAAAGAAACTTGTAGGTCTTCGAAAAGCTATATAGACTTGAAAGAAGGAAGATTGTTTTTGATGGGGAAATGCCCGCGCCATACCAGATCGCAGAGGAAGTTATGACTTTATAACAATAACCTATAAAGTCAACTTTACAGATAGACGCATTATATGCACTGTTTGTTTATTAAAATAAAAACATTAACAATTAATGAATGAGCACATTGTAGATTGTTAAATTAATATTGATATATTTTTTTTAAATCGTTGCCCCACATTAGGATTTTCTCCTGTGTCGTGGGTGCTGTTACAAACATACATTTTCACATACACAAGAGACCCAGACCCGGAACAACAATTTGTGGATCACATAAAGAGTTGTTCCGTGCGGGAATCGAACCCGCGACACGTTGCACGGCATCCAGTTGCCCAGCCACCACACCAACCGTGCAGTCATAATGACCTATTGACTAATCACTCATATTGACTGCACAGTTGGGCAACCAGTTGCCGAACAACTATTTGGGTGATAGACGAATTGTTGTTCCGGGTCTAAGTGCAATTTGTATGTGCAATTGTATGTTTGCATACGCAGTAATACGCACCCAAGACACAGGAGAAAATCCTAATGCGGGACAACGTTTTTTACGACAAAAATATGGAGGTAGTCTAGTGTGGACATCAAGGATAGGTATTTCTAACTTCCAAGTTACAGAATGAAAAAAGTACCCTAGTTTCGCATTTGCATTTACACTTCGATATTCGTAATTTAATACGCTACATTCCGGTTCCCATGTTCAAATTAGAAAAAAGAAATAATGAAAAACAAATTCTTAGTACCTAAGTAAGAGCCTATACATTTTCACAAACTTACAGATTTAGAATATTACTAGCTTCAGCCCGCGACTTCGCCCGCGTGGTATGTTGATATAAAGATATAAAGCAGCCTATGTTTTAATTCAGGGTATCACTTACTGAGCCAATAGACCACCATAGCGGGACCCTATAGGGCTGATGTTCAGCCGGGGTTACGGGGTAAGCGCAATGAGGAACCGCGACCTCGGCCCAGAGCAGGAGAAGGAAGAGGGGGGTTTTTTGTCAGTAAGAGTCTGACACTCCCTCCCGCTCGGCGGCTGGGCGGGAGAAGTCATTTGATGATTTTCCCCTCCCAAAAAAGGGTATCACTTACTACATAACAAATTTCAACTAAAACGGTCCAACCACAAACATACATCCAATCAGTTTCACAAATTTTCACTCAGGATTTCAGAGAGAGAGGTTAGAGGTTCATTAGGATACTTTGTCATCAGGTACCTAGCACTGGTTAGCCTAACTCGGTTGGTTGTATATATTTCACCTTGAAAACCTTTATCCAAGTACAATACGGAATGTTTGTCGTTTCCAGAACTTACTCCGCTCAGTTACGAAATAAAATGTTAAAATTATCACTCATCCTGTGTTTTGATAAAACGGATTCTGTCGATTTTATATTTACAAACTACATTACTCGTAGAATGGACAATTGTTTAATACAGATAATCTATCTGTACCTGTGTGTGCATACCTAGCTTAAGCTTGCGAAAGCCAGAATGTTGTCAAGCCAAGTTCCAATAAAATACAGTATATTACAGCATTATTTTCCAATCACGGAACCACAGGCCCCCAGACCGTTGGAAAACGTAGGAAGGGCCTAAACTAACTTGCAGAGGCTCTTTGAACAACTTTAATATTAGTGAAATGCGACGTCAGCTGGCTATAATCCCTGGATGCACTTGCACCCAACGACAATCCCCGGTTATGGTACTTATGGTCGATAATTATATGGCTATGGGTGTGTGTGGGTATGGACTGGTAGCTAGATGATAATTATGGAAAAACTATGGCCCTTGCCCCTGACCCATATTGATACATACGGATTAACCGACGGGGGCTGACTGGCAAACTCAATGGATACCCGGAAACAGCGGCTAGCATGTAGCGACACGAAGGCAATATACGCTGAGCGATTTGGGGGAGAAGAGGCAACACAGCTATCAGAACAATCCTGGAAGTAAAGTGCCTGCCACTCACTGGTCACTCCAGCTAGTCACTAACCGAGACCTGGAAATTCTGTGGGATCGTCACTGCCCGACAGCACGCCACAAGCTGCATTATGTGCATTTTTACCTACGTATTTTTTTCTGTAAGTAAGCGTCAGCTTTTTTAATACCTCCTTATAATTGGTCCCGCTGAAAATCTGTTTGGCAGAAGTTTCCAGTCTAGGATATTTTGAAGTCACCACTTGTCCCATCGCTCAGCATTTCTCTTTCCTTACGAAGTCGGTAAACGGACAGCTTAACCGTGATGGTATGTAAATAATCGGAACCGTCCATGGACAGATACACCAGCGAAAACAGTAACTCTAGCGAGGTGAACAACTCCAGCGTTGTGTCACGCTGGTTTTTCTAATGTGGGGGCGTGGTGTCAATCCGGTTGATTCATCCCATTCGTGCCTTACTTATTTGGCGTGAATGATAAACACATAAATACAAAGTTTTATTTGTGAAAATTGATAGAACAAAAGTTGTTACCCATAACCTAGTGAAGATCAAATATTACAAATACCTAAATCTATAATCGTGAAAATTGCTTAGGTAACTTCAGTTCGAAAATAGCCTGTTACTATTATTAAAATGATATACATAAATTGTTATAGATTAGTCACAGGAAGGCAAACGAAACAGTGATAGCGAAAATTAACAAAGCTCAGAGACCACAGTATCATTCGTATATCATCTGTGAAGTGACGATGATGGCACATCTGTTCGTGTTGTGGATTTTTGTGGTTCTACAAATATTTACTTCTTGTTATGTTGACAGTAAAATGCTATGTACCAAAACTGTTCAGTAAGTACCTTTTAATTATTCTATTCTCAACTAGCTTATCAAGCGACTACTTCTGCGGTACCCGGCTGAAAAGTAACTTACGTAGTTCCAGAAATTATTGTATTATCTCTGTACCAACTTTCATTAAAATAAATAAACTTTTTTTATGCAATAGAATAACCACTAGTTTATCTTTCCATAATTACAAATTTTAGCGTTGATAATATTGTAGTAGGATGTGCGTGTTAAAAATAGATTTCATTTCGCGTTTGTTTGATTGTATGTCTGTCGGTCCGCCTTCAGTTTTATAATCAAACTGCAAGGAAGTGGCATCATCGCTAATCATCAGGCGTGATAGACAAATGGCTGCCCAT